ATCTCTCTATTCAACTGTCATTTTAGGTACGTATCTACATACAGTCATGTATGCTACCATTTCAACAGATACATTTGCTGTATATTGGATGGGTTAAAACCTAGGGTGTGCGGTTAGATGTCGGAAGACAAATCACGCATATGAACGTGGCACCAGACCAGACCAATGGCACGTCATTACACCAGTTTTAACTAGGGTACTTCGGCTACCTCATGGGGCCGTCTCGAAGCACTTGTCAATATTAGGAGAAACAAATATACACACAGAAAGACTACCCGTTCGAGGTATAACTACACTCGAAGGGGATGTGTTGAAGTCTTTACAGTGAGTAGAGGAAAACCAGCTGGGTACTTGACTTATTTCGAGTTTGTTTAAGCCTATACACTGATGATTTATTTCAGTGATACCAGTTGGTGCTTAGCACAAAAACATCTGCGTAGGTACATTTACATGTGGCCTATTGTGGGGATCATCATGTACATCACTGTTTCGAAAACGATTTTTTTTTTTTTAATATTGATGAAGTTATGGCCGGTCAAAGATATGACGTCACACACTTGATAGAACTGCTGTATGGGGCCACTTCTCTGAAAAAAAAAAATACTAGAAAATAATACAAAATGTTGTTGTGTAGTAGGTAGGCCTAGGTCGCTGTACTGAGCTACTGGAGCGTGCAAGAATCTCGCCAGCGCTGTTGCATACACGCCTCGTCCACAGGCACTTGCAACTTCCCTGCAGCAGCCGAGCAAGGGGGAGAGGAAAGGACGAGGAGGGGGAAGGCGGAAACTCTCGAGTGGTGAGGTCTAACCCTGGCCATGTGCTGCGCTCCTACAGCAGTAGTCTAGTACTGATTTTTTTTCCTCTGGCGGTAAAGCCCCACTTCATATGGTTGTCTCCTATGTAGTCTATGCGTTCCCGTTGTGGACGCCTCTCTGCTGCTGTGTCGTACAGCCTGTGATGCGGTGCTGAAAGTGAAATTGTAATGATTAGCCCTGCTTGTTACATACACGCACGTGTGGTTGCGGTACAGACAAGGTTGTTCGGTCTCAGAGGGAGACTGACTCTCATGGTCAACGAGAAATGGCCCGACCTGATTTTTTCTCGACGGATGCATACGCTGCGTGTCACCCGGCGTAGGCTACTGCCGTCAGTTGGTTGCATATACTCGATTGGCAAGAGTCAGATGTTCGAATTTCGGCGCAAGGGAGCTATATTGCAAAGGGAGTGTTTCTCTTGCTTCCGTCCCTTGCCTGGGTGGACAGCGCTACTGGTATAGGTTGTGTGTACACAAAGGAAAGAGAGCGCTGCACTCCTTCTCGCATTACCAGTCTTCTGCCGGGATTTTTTTGAAATTTGTCGACGACCTTTTCCGGCACCGCCGCCACTTCAGCCCACCATCGTCACGTATGAAGGCACCTCCGAGTAGCTGCAGTCGTGACAAGCCCTTCCCGCTGAAGCGACGAAGGGAAATGAGGGCGTGTGGTTTTCTGGATAGGTAAAACAGCGCTGGAAAAGTACGGACCCAGTAGTTAGCCTTTTTTCCGATGTGGGACATTTTCTCAAATCGTCCCCGGGCAAGGGGTTTGGCGCACTTACACCCACCTGGCGCCACCCTGGGGCGATATGGGCTGCTGAATCGAGACCACAGTATTAACACATCCTACTAGACGCTGTATGCCAGTAATCCGCCAGTGTTTCGCAGTCTGTCCTTTTTACGAGGGTCACACGGCACGCTGACTTGGAGGCAGATCTGGTTGAGCAGACGGATTTGGAGGACTCATAAGTACATGACGCCTGGCCGTGCGACTTGAACCAAACAGTGGGCGCACAGGCTGGTGACGTTGGCTTTCTGTAGCATCCACGACATTAGGGGTTCATGGCTCTTGGATGCAGATATCGGAAAACATGAAAGGTGGATCTGGACCCTCTTCCCAGTCAATTACCAAGAGGAACTTCGCCAGGGGCTCCGCAATCCAAAGACATTGAAAGGGTGGTGGTTGGGACAAGACGGGGGGGGGGGGGGGGGG